GGCAATCATGGTCTAAAATGGAAATAAACTTGGCGATATGCATCAAGAACCTTAAACACGTCCATTAACACTGACCTTCTGTTACCATTTCTAAGACACTATTCTTAGATTCAAAACAAGCAGTCGATTATTTTTGGAAAGGGATATAGATTTAAGGGTTACTTAATTTAATATTTTTAATTAGAAATAATTCAAATCACCAGCAATAGGGAAATGATTAGAGTATTCCCAAATGATGAAATCTTAGGTACCTATTTAAAACAAAAAACAAAACTTGTTTTCATAGGATATATCATAGCAGGGAAAATTTCTCATGATGCAATGTGAAGTGGAAAAAGCCAGATACAAAACTATATATACAATATGATTACATTTCGCACATGCCCCCCCCTCCCAGGTATACATGCAAATATTTAGGCAAACTCAAGATGCTGGAAAGAATTAAACCAAAATCTTACTAACCATGAGGGTAAAAACATTTTTTTTTTTTAAGTTTTTGTGAGTGAATCACTTCTAAATTAGAAAAGAAAGCATTTGCAGGAAAAAAAAAAAGAAACCACAACAATTAGCAAAGTACAACATAAAGTATTGGTGTGTCTTATGCAGGTTTTTATGAAATCCCTATGTATGAATCCTTCACTGTAAGAGGAGAGGGCCTCTTCCTTTATTTTACACACAGACTATTCCTCTGCTGCCTTATATACGAAGGGACCTCATTCAGTCAAGTGGTTGGTTCTACACACACACTTAAATCTAATTGAATACAATAGCTTCTATTTATAAAATCCCCTTAAAATAGAGGAAAAATTTTATTGCAACAGACAATATTACTTCTCCAGCAATCATCCCCCTGTGCATCTGGGAAGTGGTTTGTTTCTCTGGGTGGATGTTGTGAGTTACTCATACGAAGGTGATAGCTTAGTAGCAGGAAGCATGGAGAGCAATGCTCAGGGTAAGACAGTACGATCAATACTACGTATTTTAACGCCATCTTTACCAACTCTAATGGAAGGTTTTTAAACATTGGCTGGCAGGCTGCATTCTGACTCAGAGAAAAACTCCTTTCTCCTATGAAAAACTGAGACGTGATTTTAATTCCTCAGTGCTTGCAGACCTGTCGAGCTCTCGGTTTCAGGACTCCCCAGCTCCTTTCCTGAAATACCAGACAAATCAGCTGTTCTTGCAAGCTGAAAACATTAGCTCCTTGCAATCATTCACCTTACGGGGGGATGTTGGAAGGCTGCATTTTAGGCAATATTGTGGTGTTCCCTATCACAGCAGGAACTAAAAATCCAGCAGCAAAAAAAAAAAAAAGTCTCATTTTTATCCCTTCTTGAATACAAGTTTGTCTAACAAATGCTGTTGAGGATTTTAGGCTTCTATTTGTCAACATTTTTATTTAAATTTATTAAAGGATAGAAGTGTTATGTTAGGAGTGTTAATAATACACACTAACCACGAAATCACAGAGCTTAAGGTAACTTTAAAAGGCCACCTAACACTCTCCCAAGACTAGAGAGAGACAACACTGAAATGCTGAGGGTATTTATGTCTTTGTTTAAAAGTCTGGAACAAGGAGGATTCTTTGACTTTATTCATCAATTCACTTTGGCATTTCACTAAAAGTTCTTCTTGATATCAGGGCTAGGATCCCTCTGTTGCAATTTGAGCTTCTAGCCAACCACAGAGAATGTGGAATAAAGCTATTTTCTGTTCATCTGAATAAAGTAAGGAGTTCTACTCTCAGCCATCAACTCTGAAGATTCAATAGGCTCAGGTTTTTCTACTTGGTCTTTGCCTCCCAACCTGAAATTCAAATCTAGTCCTTATCCCTGGTTTTCCTAACACAGCGTCTCCACATTTTCTTTCTTCTACTGAGATTAGACATAACCAGGTCCCAAACTAGCTACATGCTTTTATTTTGGGCGTATGAATATGTGTGAAGCCCCAATATAAACACTGGGCAAGTTATATGGAAGAACTGAAGTGTGTGGAAAAGACATTTTAATAAAATGTTGGGGTGCCCAGCTGGCTCAGTCAGTAGAGCGTGCGACTCTCGATCTTGGGATTGTGAGCTCGAGCCCCACGTTGGGTGTAGAGATGGCTTAAAATAAAATGTTATGGATCATATATTCCAAGAATGAATGGTGCTCATAAATTGTTATGGTGTTCCTAACACTTATTTTTTTAAGATTACACTACTTGTAGACATAAGTCATCTCACTTATACCTTTAGCATACTATTTGGCCACTGACCACATTAAGGATTTGGCACTTTAAAAAGTTTGATTATAGTGAAATATACCCACATTGGGTGAACGGCATTGAAGCTTTGACCATGGACCACACTAAGGATTTGGCACTTTAAATAATTTGATCATACTGAAATACACCCACATTGCATGAATGGCGTCGAAGCAAAGCAGACACTCCTCAAGAAAGAGAAACCACTGAGGAGGTTCCCACGAGAGGCCACCACCGGGAAAGCAACCTGTGGAGGGTGACGGTGTTTCTGAGCCTTACCTGATGTCGGTACACGTTATGCAGGTGATGTCTCGACTGTTTGTCGTAATCAGGTTCAAAGCTACTGACGTTTCCTTGTCGGAGGTTGGGTGTGCTCCACATTTAAAGAAAAATTCCTAAAAGAATGAGAACTCTGTGAGAAATCTCAGGCATGGAGCTCAGCTGGCCATTTCCCATCTCTAAACATTTTCACAGTGAACAATCTCTTCGGGCAAGAGAGGAAATCTATTAGTAGGTATGAGTTAGAAATAAGTCCACATCAAATCTTTGGAGGGAAACTAATACCCTCATGCCAAACTAGTCTGCAATCCCCTTGTTAGGAGGGTCCAAGTGTCTCTGCTCATCTTCCTTTGCTCTTTCAGCTCTGGAGCTGGGGAAATGCTCTGTGACTCTGGTTTAGCGATGCCCTTCCATGATAAGTGAGTCTAGTAGAATAGCACAGTGTCAATGCAGGAGGAAGCCTGAAACAGTATCTCACAAATGAGGAAAGGGAGACACTGAGCCATGAAATGATTTGCCCAAAGTCAAACAATCAGAGGTGAAGGCAGGAAGTAACCAGACTTTCTAAGGGGAAACCCAGAGCTTTTTCCATGGCCTGCTACACAATCGGTCAGTTAGCAGCAAGGATGTGATACAGAGTAAAGAATCGAGGGAACACTCCTATGAATAAGCATGTTCGAACACGGAGACTTACACAGTAGCAGAGGGTGACTCTTCCCCAGACACTTCCCGCACCATTTTCTGCCTCTGTGGAGGGTCCCAGAATTCCCTGGGAGACTCGGACCCTGCCCCCCACGCTAAGCAGCGGGGAATGTTTTACACCTGTATTTATCTCCTTAATTGGCTTCGCCAGCCTTGTCCTGCACACTTCGCTTTTCACGTAGGTCACATTCTTTTGATTGCTTATATGCTCCCTTCTCAACCCAAATCTTCTTTTTATTTTTCTTCATTTCTTGCCCTTGTTATTTCTCCATTTGTTCACACACCCCTTTACCCTTGGTACATTAAGGAGCTCCGCACAGTAATTGCTCTGCCTCTTGCCTGACGACAGTCTTTACACCTTCCACGATCACCACGTCCATGAAGTGAAGTTCTCTGCTGCGGCAAAAATCCAGCACAAGTTTATCACTGGACAGCAGAAGAGCACCTGCACACCACACCTCCATTCGAGTATAACTACCTGGAATGTGGACAGTAGTTCCCCTGGAAACACTAGACTCGACTTTTTATTACAGCTCCAGATATTAGTTTCTGGCTTTGTGGGACTTTGTGGGTCCTTGTTGAGCTTTTCAATCTGCATGGTAGCCTGAGAGCACCCACAGATGATATGCAGATGGACACCTATGACTGTGTCCTAACACAACTTTATTTATAAAAACATTTGGAAAATGGGATTTTGTCCATAGGCCATCATTAATGGTCCACCCCTGATATAGACTCTGAAGTATTATGGAATCCCTTTTTCATATCTGTATCTTAACAGTGCCCCGCAGAGAAGAGGCATTAGATATATTTTCTTAAATGAAAACATCAGTAGCTTTATTCAACAAATTCTGCCATCATCCCTTTCTACATCTGACAGCACTACCTTTCATTTATTCTTTCCCTACTTACAACCCAACTAACCTCATTCTCCTCTGACCTGAGATACAATGAGTAACACCTGTGGCTCGCAAACACCCGTTGCACCAGAATCACCCGGTGGAGGGTGGGAGGGTGTTCCGCTAGACGTTGCTGGGCCCCACACCAGGGTTTTCTAATTCCGTAGTACCCAAGTAGGGCCCATGATCTGCATTTCTACCCTGTGGGCAGGTGATGCTTTTACTACTGCTCTGGGAACCACACATTTGAGACCCGTCGAGTTACAATGACACTGGTGGTAAAGAGAGTAACTCTGTTTATTCTCTCCGAAGACGACGGCTGTAACACGCCTCTGTTGGCGCATCTGCAAATGACGCCATGTCTCAGGTAACGGGTGTTACTCTCCAAACATCTGAAGTGTGCCACTGTACAGAGAAGTGTCCCCAAGCCAGCTGTTTGGAGCCCAGGCTGTCCTTATTTGCAAGTGTCCTACCAACCCCGGGTGGTATACCTGTTAGCCAGAGCCTCTCCTGCCTGCAGCAAGTGGCATGCAAGTCGTCCTCCTGCAGTCCCCAGCCCCACAGATGAGGGTGTGACAACAGTCTTGCTGTAATAGACAGGGTGGCCGGTGCTTCTGATGAACGCCTGTTTAGGTGTGTCCATGCATCATGCCTCTGAGCCCTGGTCTTTCCCTGGAGTGGCATGGAAATCCTACTGATGGCTTTCTTCTCTTTTTTTTCTTTTTTACCAGAGAACGCCACCCTCTTCATACAACCTTTTAAAATTTTACAAATCCTTCAAAGGCCAGTTCAAGGATGTTAAGAAAAAGATTTAGAGCAATTCCTGACTGCCAAAACAAAAAGCGTGCAAGACAGGACGGACCCTTATGAAATGCACTGAGCTAGCAGCTGTGACTGTTTTCTGCAGACGTGGAAGAAATCCCACTCGTAACATGAAGTAAGTCTTCCAAAACAGCTGAGCTGGCGGGGCTATTGAGAAGGTATTTCACAAGCAGATAAACAGATAGTATTTCTATTTTTTCTTAGCTTGCAAAAAACTGCTGGTTCAGCTAACAAATCACAAACTGTTCTAATACCAGATAAAATCCAGCCAGATAAAAGCCCAAATCCTTTTTACTGGGGGGAAATGGATGTTTATAGATAATAGTATAAAAAGTTACAGATATTCAGAAAATTCCAGTATTTCACATGGGCTGATAAAACTAAAATACAAATTATCAACTCTATATATTAAACATAAATGTTCCATCAGTGAATTTCAACACTTTCTCCACCAATTTTTACGAAAGGAGGTACTTCTGTAGTGCTAGAGTAATTGGCAAGACCGGGGGAGGGTCTGAGACTTCACCCTGCTTGCAAGCTCACATGTTAGCATGCCACAGTCTTGCAGTTGCTGGCAGAAGACACAAGACTCCTGGGTCAGAGACAAAGGACTGCGTGACTCGGAGCTCAGGCAGAAAGAAGTATGGACATGATGACCATGTCAGTTCCCCTGCTCCCCAACAACTACGGGATGAAGTGGATGAAAAGCAAGGTGCTACAAGTAAGTGGTTCTGAACTACATACAGGTGAGGACCCTGAGCTTAGGGCACCCAGATCTTTAATAAGGAGCTGCAGGCAAACCTTCCTTTTGTCCTGAAGGGCGATACTGTCTTCACTATAATGGATAATAAGCAGATCTCTCTGTGACCTCCTTGAAAAGATCATCCAGAACAAGAGGGTAGTAGGGGCCTCCCTCACAACGTGCAGAAACACAAGACAACCCTGGAGAACTGTCTCCCTATAGCAGTGACACCTTTTCTGACTAATCACTAGTGTGATCTGGTCATTTCCTGTCCTATGCCATCAGTGGGCTAAGATGTTGGTAGTCTTTTGATACTTCCATTCTGCATGCAAAATACACAAACAATAAAGCAAAGCAAAACAGAAGAACCTTTAAAAGAATTCTACCTTGGGTAGGACATCTGTCAATCCTAGTGAAAGGAATCCTAGCTCCCTTAAATGTGGGTGAAGAAAGATTCTCTTAGGGGCCCACCCCATCTTTTACAAATGCTAGCTCAAGATAAATCAGCTACAAAAATAGAGACACAAACCAAACCAAACCAAAACAAAACAAAACCAAGTCCTGTAAAATTAAATGAATTCTTCTACCTAACCAGGAACTATAGTTCCCATGGGCTGGCTCTTTTCATTTGGATCCATATACTCAATTCTGGGAAGCCATAATTAATTAGCTATAGAGTTAAAAGGTATGACAGTAATTGGCCAGTTTTTATTTTTTTCAATGATAGTATAAACTATTTAATAAATGGACCCAGAATAAGACTTTGAAAATGAGTTTGGCTTTATATTGCAACCATGTTACATGCAATATAAGTGTTTTCCACTATCCAGCAGAGTTATATTCTCTAAGTTCATAGAAACATACTCACGTTTTTACCATTTCTATAGACAAGGCTATGATTCTTTCCTTCTGCTCTTACTGAATTATATCTTATCACAACTCACCTGTCTTTCATTTTAGACTATAGAGGCCTGACCCTCTAACCAAATCAGACCCATAAAAACCAAAAGTATACACCAAGGGAAGACCTGTGAACATTTCAGTTCAGCTGTTGGTGGCATTCCCAGAAGCCACCCTCCTCTTCACTCCACTCTGCCACCTGACTTCTGACTCAGACCAGTGTCTCTCACAAAGAAGGAAATAACAGTAGGTATGGAAACGAATAAATAAGGCAGCAAAATCTGAAAATAAATTCATACCAAGAACCCAGTTGTATAAGAACTTACAGGATCGGAAGCTGATTAGTCAACTCCAAACACAAATTAATGTGTTCCAAATTTCTGACAACTATTGTCCGGAAAGCCTCACATATCCCAACCACAAGCTAGTTCCACAAATCTGAAGAAACAGCGATGAGACCGGTCTTCTTCTTTGTTCATGAACCTTCTAGCAGCTTTCATTGAACTTCCCAAAGTTAATGGTGTTTATAGATACTGCTTCACCATCATATGTTTCCCAATTAAAATATTGTGTTTGTCTTTACAAAGCGTTAAGTTTGAGTTAGTCTCCAAATCTTTCTCAGTTAATATGCCCCAAAGGAATCACATCTTTCTCTTGATAAAATAAAAGGATCACACAGTTTCCACTAGAAGGTTGCAATAAATCTGTGGTTTGTACTGAACAAGTAACTGGCCACGTGCATGGGTCAGAGTCGAGTCAGGGAAACGGGGCTCATGCCCAGTAGCTCGGCTGCGGGAATCTGATGCTGAGATCAAGTTGCAAAGGTGGTGGAAGCACCACGGGGTAGGAGGCTGCCCTGAGATCAGCAGCACTGGGGCTCTGGGGGAGGACAGAGGGAGGAGGTGGCTAACTGCTGGAAGCTGGGAGGAGGAGAGAGAGACTGCCAGAAATGCTTCTTTAACAAAAATTTTTTTTGAATGATTTTATTTATTTATTTGACACACACAGAGAGCGCATGTGAGAGAACATAAGCAGGGGGAACGGCAGAGGGAGACAGAGGAGGAGGCTCCCTGCAGGGCTCGATCCCAGGACCCTGGGATTGTGACCTGAGCCAAAGGCAGATGCTTAACTGACTGAGCCCCCCGGCGCCCCCAGAAATGGTTCTTGAAGAGAAAGTGAAAAACATTCTGGCTTCTGCCTTGTCTCTGAACTCCCAGTTCCCACCAGGCCTCCCCTGGGCAAAGCCAGCCTGAAGCAAGAAGAGGGAATCTGGGAGCTGGTGTTTGCCATGGCCAGCCCAACAGCCCAACACACTACACAGAGAGGCCAAGGTATAATAAGAAATATAAATAAAAATGAAATTCTAAAATCCAAAAGGCTCTGAAAACACAGTTTTCTTTTCTTTTCCCCTCTAAATATGCCATTAACTTTTATTTATGGCAAAACCTGACAGGCACGGGCACGACATTATTTCTAGTCTGTATTTGCCCAACTTAGTGTGACTGTTCCTACTTCTTACTGCAAGATCACTGTTTGTTTATTTGTCTGTTTAATGATAAGGTGTAGGTATATGGTCCTCGCGATATTTCAAGAGTTAAAATGTATGAATTATAAGTTTCTCAACTTGAAACACTTCTGACTCCCACGGTAGTAGATAAGCAACTGATTCTACACCTAAAATCGTCTTCAATTCTTACTGATCCTGCAGGACAAACCTTCAAGTACCAGATACCATCCTTTCCTTTAATCAGGGCAATGGTAGTTTGGGCTCCGTTCACATGAACAGTTTAAGCCTGCTTTAGATACCTGTATAGATAAACCCATGTGGACTTGCCGTTTCCCAGTGCTACTAGATAGAAACAATGACACAGATTTTAATGCCACATGCCTTCAAGAAGTCTAACTTCAAAATCAAAGCTACCGACAGCACCATGCTTATCTTCCTCTTCCACGCCTGGACTGGGAGTTCTTCCTCGTGCCTGACTGGAAGCTTATTCTATTGTAACATGCTTGGTCATCATGTGCCTTTTATCATTTTAGGAATAAAAGGGCGGTGGGGTTGTTGAACAAGGCATTTCAAACGATTCCTGGTGAGTAAACCAGAAGATCTGAAGTCACTACGGATGCTTATGAAATACATGGGTTTATATAGATGGCTTTGTTCAGACAAGAAAAAAACAAAAACAAAAACAGAACAACAAAAAACGGAACTCACAGATACAGAGAACAGACTGGCAGTTACCAGAGGTGGGGGAGGGATGTGATGGCGTGGGGGTGGGGGTAAAACAGGTGAAGGCAGTCAAATGGTATAAAGTTCCATTTATAAATAAACAAAGCCACTGAAAATGATCCTCCTTCCCACTCCAGGTGATTGGTCAGACATGCTCAGATCCCTGTACCTCCCTTTCTCGTCCCGAGTCTGGGGCGCATAGATGGCCAACTCAGTCAGAACACAACACTCCCCCGGCGCAACCACAGAGAGAGAACCTGTCTGATAATCAAGCCAGTTTTCAGAAGAGAACAGAAACAAGAGACAGAAAGGCAGAGTTCCAGCGATGGCATCTGTGTCCCGGATCCAGCTATACCTGTTTTCCTGGTTATTTAAGTTACTATATCTTCCGTAAGTAACAGCCATGCTTCCAGGGATTTTTTTTTTCCCCAATGTTTACTCATTAAAAAAGTTTAAAAAAAAGAAAAGAAAAGAAGAGAAAAAGAAAGGAAAGGAAAGGAGAGAGAAAAAAGAAAAAAGAAAAGAAAAGTGCACTATTTTTTCCTGGCCCAGCCTTGACCAGGGTCTGGAGACTCAAAGGTAAACAAAATCCCTAAAAGAATCCATAAGCCCGGAGGAGAAAGACACTTCAACAAACATTTGCACAAAATAAATTTAAAAAAAAAAGTGGTAAATGCCTACAGATGCCTGAGCCATGGGGACGAGAGAAGGATGACCAGCTTATGGGAGAATGCAGTTTTGCTTTTGCTGGGTTTTACAAGGTAAGAGTTTGCCAGGTGGAGAAGGTAGGGGAGTGGGCATAGGAACAACGGTGAGCAAGAACTCATGCTGGGGGTTCATACTTGCTAAGTGCCCGGAGCTTGGGCAGGAGAGCAACGGGAAATCTGCGATTCTTTGTGCATATAAGCATTGATCCCAGCCCATCATACTCAGGCTGGTTCTTTGAAAGCCTGGAAATGTGCTTCTTAGGCAACTCTTCTCTGTCAGTTTCCCTACCAAAAAGGACTGCAGTGTGATACAAAGGATATGCATTATGACTAGTTCTTTGTCACCAACTTTGAAAGATCACCCTTTCAAAACAGGTTTTTGATTGATTAACTTAGCAGGGCATATAAACTTCCAAGACAAATTTCCACATTCTCTTTCAGACTGGAAAACAGAATTTTCTTTTTTCTTTATTATTCTGAGAAGGCTTTCCCTCCAAGGGTTGTGCTCTAGATAAGATATCACTGGAGAATTTTGACAGCAAATGCTTTGACTATGGTTGTCAATGTTTCTCAGCTTGTGCAATATTATCTTGCTCTTAGCATCCCTTAAAGGTCCTTGACTCCAACCTTTCTGGAATATAGAGACAGCTGCCCAAGTTGTATTCAATCCGTAGGGGATGGGCTCCCTGAATGTGAGTTGTGAGCCCCTGATGGCCAGAGGACACATCTTTTCATAACATCTAACATTCCCAGGAATGACTGGCTGGTTCAGGAGTATCTGGTTAATGGTTTACACAGTACTGCAGACATTCTTTCTCCAGGTCTGACATACACTTGACTAACTAGCTAGTAGTTGCTCACTTTCCATCACCTTTCGAATAATGTCTGGGAATGTAACTTCCCTCCAACCACAATAGTAGTTACTTATGTGATATCATTGGCTCAGTATACAAGTTGAGTATATCTTCTCCTTAAATTTTGTAGCCTAGCCAGAATATAAAAGACAATATTCATTATTCTGGCTGTTCTTTATTTCCTTTAGAAGTTAAAGGTTTCATAGGCTCTCATAGTGTCAGCTTGCATGGACATTAAGGCATCGCAGCATTTGCTAGTTTCATTATTTAGGTGAAGCTTTCCAGCTTCTGTTCTCAGATAAATAAAATAAGATGTTACAATATTTTGTGATTAACAGAGCATTTCCTTTTGTAACCCCCCACCACTGATTACCCAAGCCGACCTCTAGGAGAGGGCACATAAACGAGTATCTGTTAGCTGGTAATAATTTGCAAGACACTGCGGGGACAGGTCATAATTTCGAAAATTTATAGTGACTCACCATCCCTGGATGAGTTGTGTTCCCACTAATTTCTAGGCATTCTCTAGAAACTGGCAGTTATTTTACATTTATTTCTAAATGTGAAAAAACAAAAAAAAACAAAAACATATTCTAATCCATAATGGCAAATAATGTGAAAGCACTGTTTAAACCTGTCATTTTCCTGGTTACACATCCTTCAGCTCAAGCACACCGTCCTGAGCAAGGCCTTTGGAGCCTTTCCAATGTCATTGGCCTCACCATCTTTCCCTCTCTCAGCCCTTCCCATTTCAGCCATAAACACCCTTTTCCTGCCCTAAAGGCTGTGCTCTCTCTGTTGCCTTTGATCCCTTACACACAGTTTCTCCCAACATGGACCGTCGTTCTCCTACCTTTCCCACTCACTTTGCCCTGGAAACCCCCAAGGGTCCTTCATGACTCAGCTTACAAGTCATCGGCCCTGAGAGCCTTCCTGATTCCCTAGGACTGGTGAGAGGTATTTCCATGTTACCCCTTGCTCCTATCCTGCTCTGTGCTGACTGCCTGCGAAGCCCTTGTTCTATGACACCGACATCACCTGCTTTTCTAGCAGACTCCTCGGAGGGTAAACAACCTGAAGGCATTGCATCCCACAGGTGGCCCAGGGTTAAGTACACAGCAGGTGTCAGACCTGTCAAAAGACTTGAAGAGTAAGAAAGGAACGTGGGGGGACTTCTGGGAAGGCAACAGAGTAGGAGAATCCTAAGCTCAACTTGTCCCACAGATACAGCTAGGTAACACCCACATCAATCAATTTAAACAAACAAGAAAAAAAACAAAGAACCTGAAGACTGGCAAAAAGACTCCCCACAGATGAATGTAGAGAAGAGGCCACACTGAAGAGGGTAGGGAGGGTGAAGATGCGGTAGGGACCTGGGGGACTGTCTGCAGGACAGAAGGACACAGCAGGCATGGAGAGGGGAGAGGAGCAGACCCCCACTCCAGGCAGCCCACGCACAGGGGACCTGCATGGGGAAGACAGATCGCTATAACATTTGGCTTTGAAAACCAGAGGTTTTCCCAGTCAGTGGGACATAACCCCTAGAACTTTCAAAACCAGTGGGCGTGGCTCCAGGAGAGCTAGGAGACAGCACAAAAAGCAGCCCGGCTGAGATACAGCACAGGAGCAGCAGTCTGAAAAACACCTGGGGTGTATGGGAAGGAGATTTATTTACTAATCTCAGCATGTGCTGGAGGTGCAGGGATCTTTGGGAGACTTCTCTGAGAGCAAAGGAGCACCATTTCCTTCCCCTGCTGACCAGCCTAGACACATGGACACCTGTGGGAATAAGCACAGTGCTAATCCTCTCCAGCTAGCCTGCAAACAGTATGCACTCCATCCCACGTGCTTCTGCAGATCTACCCCCTCCAACCCAGCCTGCCTGGGAGGAGTTTTCGCAGGCAGCTGCAGGTCCCTTCCTGCAGCAGACCACATGGAACCTGCTGGAATCACATGCCCCACCCCCATGGCCTTCTGGGGACCCGCCCCCTCCACCGTACCTTCTTTTGTGAGAGCCCATCCAAAGCAGAGGTACAAGCCTGGCAGAGTCATAAGCAGCCCCGACAGGGGCCAGCACGACTCCAAAGTGACTTCTACCTCAGGGAGAGGAGAAGATAATCATACAGGCCAGTCCAATTATGTCCCCGGCAGTGGGCTGGCAGCAGACACCAGGTCTGACTACAGGCCCCCTGCCCACCAATGGAAGCTTCTTAGAGGACAACACAAGGAGAGCACCGTGTAGTCTG